ATATATATATATTTAATTGTGATATTTAAATATGACAGAAATTCATTTATTTCTCTCATCTAGGTTTGTGAACTGGAGTTTGGATTTCGTGGAAATGAAATGCAGCACATTGTGACCACAGTTCCTAAAGTTCTAATCGCTAATAAAAGAAAACTCACCCAAATATTTGACTTCATTCACAACACCATGGATGTTCCACACTCGCTTATTGCAAAGTTCCCACAGGTACATATTGTTTTGTCATTTCATAAGCCAAGGCATTGTTCAGTTTGAAACCCTATGAATGCAAATTTAGAGTTTATTTATAAATTTAGAGTTGCGATTGTATGTAGATATAGGATGATAATTTAGCTGAGGCACTTTGCATAGTATTTCCCCTCAATCAGAGAAGAGAAATAACTGGTGTATTCTGCTGTATTAAATGGTAAATCATGTCTTTGTGTTGTTTTCCATGCAGTGTAACATGAGTTTACTTTGTACTGTGCAACATGCTAATTGTTTTGTTTTTTGACTTCTCAAAGGTCCTTAATGCCAAATTCCTTCGCATCCGGGAGCGACACTTGTTTCTAGAGTACTTAGGCCGGGCCCAGTATCAACCATCTCAACCCAACTACATCTCCTTGGATCGCTTGGTGTTCCTGCCTGATGATGTTTTCTGCTCAGAAGTAGCATTGGCCGCTCTTGAAGACTTTGAAAGATTTCAGAAAACATTGTAGATGTACAGAATAAATTATTTTTAATAGTTGGGTTGTATGAACATAGTTTTATAAATAAAAGCCATATCACCCTGTACTCCAAGACTGGTTGCCCACTGAAGCTAAGCAGGGCTGAGCCTGGTCAGTACCTGGATGGGAGACCTCCTGGGAAAACTAGGTTGCTGCTGGAAGAGGTGTTAGTGAGGCCAGCAAATGTAATTAATTATTTTTATTTTATTATTATAAAAAGTTGAATTGGACATACCACCTATTCATTTTTATCCTGTAATAATGATATATTCCCATTTAATAGGAGGTTGCGAAAGTCAAGATCTAAAACCAAATTTGCCATATATAAATTGTATTCGAAAAGCTGTAAAGTTCATATTTTTTCCCATTCTTTCTTTTTTGTGTGTATTTTTGTGAATGTAAAGTTATTAATCTCACAGAAAATACACATAGGAAGTAACTTTAATTTTAATTAAAACTTTAATGTCTGACCTCAGGACTTTTTTTAACCTCTGAGATCTTAAAGAGAGGAACATAATATCCTCCACACCTCATGCACTTGAGGTATATGATTTGGTCTATTCTGACAGAATAATGTTTTTAAAGGGGTCATATGATGCGATTTCAATTTTTCCTTTCTCTTTGGAGTGTTACAAGCTCTTGGCTACGTCACGATCTGGCAAGATTTGCATAACACCTCCCACATGTTCACGCAAAGAAAGAAGGCGTAACTTTTATTCTCGCTGTAGTATTAGTGATGGGAAGGTCGGATCATTTTACCGACTCGGACATTTGAGTCTAGTTCAGCAAAATGAACGAATCTTTTTTCGAGTCATTTCGTTCATTTTAACAAAATATAATTAAAATGTTACGTGTTACTTCCCTAATATGTCTACTACTTACGCAAACGTTGATCACACTACAAACAATACAAAACTGCTATAAGAAACAGAAAAGATTAAGGTATTCGGCCAATCACAACGCATTGGATAGCTGGCCAATCACAGCACACCTCGCTTTTTCAGACCGATGAGCTTTGTAAAAATCGACACGTTTCAAAAAGGCGGGGCATAGAGGAGAAACAATAATGTGTTTTTTTAACTTTAAACCGCATAAACCCATTTCATTACACCAAATACACAAAATAATGTTCTTTTTAGCAGCATCATATGACCCCTTTAAATATTACAACCTCCTTGTATAATAAACATGGAGAAACGTATCCGATGGCAAGCAATCCAGCTGTTGGAATCTATTCCTCCAGTCCCATGGACTGATCTTACCCAGTATCATTTTCATAAATATTACAACCGCCATGTATAAGAAAAATAGGGGAACAGACTCTGATGGCTTGAAATCCAGCTGTCGGAATGCGTTGCTCCAGTCCCACGGAGAGACATGTTGGTGTAGAAGCTTAAAAACTAGTAAACTACTGTTTATGTAGCATCGCTACAGGAAACACCAACCAAAGGGAGAAACAGATCAAGAACATTTTTGAAAAACTTTAAATCTTTCTTAAAATTGTGACAGCCAATGATCCCATGCTGAGAAAAGCCGATTGCGTAATCACCGGACGAGACGTCACATATCCCACAATCCTGTGCGACTTTCCAAGCGAACACTAGAAATGGCGTCGAGGGCACCAGGTAAAATGTTATTGTGTGAGCGTTTTGGAAAATTGCGAGCGTATGAATTAGTTGCCATCATTTTAAAGAGTTAATGTATAACCTATTTGCTTTCTGTGCTACTCGAAAGACTGTTTGTAGACGAGGTAGTTAGTTTTGTGATGTAAAGCACTGATGTCCTCTACTGTGTGTCCCCGTCTGCGCCAGTGGGCTGTACGTTACCAGTCGAAATATGACTTTGTTCTGTTTCCATTCCCACGTGTCATTTGTAGTAACTGTTTATTTGTGTCCTAATTATTGTAAACGATACATTAGGAAGAAATAAATGCTCCGTGATTCACTCACTGATTGTTAACCGGGCGTACAGGCGGTTAACTGAATCTAATGTCAGCGGTGACATGTTTATCAGTGAGTTTTGTGCTATAATAACCCAGTCCACAACTGCCTAAGATCTGTTAACCACAGAATACGTTTGTCATGTTGCTTTAAGGACAGTGTGCTGGGTCGATATATCTAACGTTACTTGTCTCGTTCCATATCTCAAATTGTGGATGTTATGTATTTTCCTGTCCCTGTACAGCTGCAACCAGCAGGCTCATGGTGGGCTTCAGGAAGTGGTACTACAATGCATGCGGTTTCAACAGACTTGGTAAGCAGTACTTGCAGACAAAGCATTGTTAAGAACTTGTGACCTTCATGGATTGATATTTACATTGAAACACATACATATATGCAAATGTTCGAGTTTCTGTCTCATTACATGTCATATAGGCTTGATGCGGGATGATACCATCAATGAGGACAGTGATGTGAAAGAAGCCATTCGTCGGCTCCCAGAACAAGTTTACAATGACAGAATGTTCCGCCTCAAGAGAGCTCTGGATCTTTCAATGAAACAACAGATTCTTCCCAAGGACCAGTGGACTAAACATGAGGAGGTGAGAAAGCATGTCAGCTGAATGTATACTAATTTTAGCTGCTTTTTCTTTGTGTATTGTGTCTAAATGTTTTATGACCCAAAGATTTTTAAATAATGTAACAGTTTCTTATCATATATTTTGTATATTTTTAGAATTGTACATTTTAAGTGATTAATTCACAGAAAAGGGAAAAAAATTCCCATGTTTTGTCATGGAGTACAAACCAGGGTTCCCACGCTTCTTGAAAGTACTTGAATTTCAGACATATGGATTCAAGGCCTGGAAAGTACTTGAAAACAAACATGGGTCCTTGAAAGTGCTTGAATTAAATTTGAAATAAATTGTTTATGCAGGGATTAAAGTTTTCCATCGCTACGACTGATTTCCGTCAATTGGAAAAAAAATTGGGGGAAAAGAAACATGTAGCGCATTGTTGTTGTTGTTCTGCCGGCACACCAAAAATCATTCCCTGCCAAAGCTGCAGCTTCTCAGTTACAACATAGTGACGCTGCTCGCATTATTCACAGTCGGGTTATTAGCAGAGAACACAGAGCAGGACTTGAAAAACAAGTACTGCCTGATTTTGCTCTCTTTTTTTAACGAAAATAGTTCCAAATATAGTAACAGCTCAGCCACTTCGCATCTCTAAAAGCAAACACAGCTGAGTTTCATTCATTCAATGAAAGTGCATTTCTTAACGAATCTGTGTCAGTGAATCACTGAATCTGTCAGTGATTCATGATTACCCATTCCTAAAGACAGTCACTTTCTTCATTCCTGAATGAATCATCCATTCGAACAAATCAATTGAATGAATGATTCAGTGATAAAATCAGTGACTTGTCGCCACCTGCTGGTGGAATTAGTTTAATTTTTAGCGTATAATTTCAGTTATTTAAATCATTTAATATTTCTGTATTCAAAATGTTAATTTAAAACGTTAATCTCCACATAAATATATGAATTTAATTGCACTCATGCCACCTCTGAGCCTCATTAAACGTATGAAAATGTACCTACAAGTACCTCTGTAGTACAAATTAATTTTTTATTAATACTAATTTCATATGATTGGTAACCTATTTGTCTTATTCTACTTCTTATTTTATTGTTTTAAATAGAAATTTTAAAAAGCTTATAAACATACATTTTTTAATTTGACATATGATTGGTAACTTATTTGTCTTATTCTACTTCTTATTATTCTGAAAATGTACCTGTGCCACCTCTGTACAAAATAAATTTCTTTTACGGATGAAATGAGCCAAAAAAGAGATTTAACTCCGACTGAGAAGTCAAAAATGATTAAATCCACATGAGAAATATTAAAAACTAATGCAATACAGTAATTTAAAAGTTAAGGCATGACCATTGGTCAGCAAAATGCTCATTGGGTCAGCGGGGTCAGAAAAAAAACAGCTGGAGAAGAAAAAAAGCATGTTAACTGCAAAAGAATTCGTAGTTAATGTGAAGAATTAAGTGTGAAACCATCAGGAACCTTTTAGTCTCCAGTGCCACCATTTTCCAGAACTGCAACCTTGAGTCTCCAGAATTACAAGGTGTCAGGTTCTCAGAGACTTTGCTTGGGTAAAAAATCCTAAAAAATTACCCCTACTTAATAAGAATAACATTCTGAAGTGTTGTGAAATACATGAAGACTATTTTTATAGATAAGTTGAGAGGACCAGCACCACATCCTCTTGTACCACTGTTTGAAGAATTGATCTTCCAGAATCTGGCAGTAAGTTTTAGGAGCTCATTTTTGTCAGTCTCTGCAAGACAGACTTTTCAGGATAGGAGATGGACTAAAAATGAACTCCCAAAACGTACTGCAACATGGAGCTAAGGAGAAAA